GGCGTAAGCACCATAGCGGTTAGGGCGGCGAAAGCACCATAGCGGTTAGGGCGGCGTAAGCACCATAGCGGTTAGGGCGGCGAAAGCACCATAGCGGTTAGGGTAGCGTAAGCACAATAACGCAAAGATACAACAGGACAAGGAGGAAGGACGAGGGGCAGAAGCAGCAGCGCCTAAGAACAGGAGTTAGATGGAGGGGCTACGACACAGCCACCGTCTCTGGAAGAGTCCTGATGCTGACTAAATGACCGGTAGAGACTGAGACAGAAAAGACCTCAGAGAAGGAAACTAAGACATCATCTGTCCCAACAGAGATCCTGGACTTGGATCAATTTAAAATGCTGCTGGTTTGTTGAGCAACATTAGAAACATTCTGAATAATGCAATAAAATGGCAGATTTTTTGTAGGATTCTAACAGGAACTAATTAGGTCCAATCAGATCACCTTTCCTGAGGTATGTGGCTTACTGATCTCTGTTCCCTCAGGGTATGGATTGGTTCATGGGAATAAAAATTAAGACAGCTGTGATGCTTACAGCGCAGCATGTGATCCTCTGCAGCCTTCAGCTGCCTCTGAGAGGTGGGACACCATGATGGCAGCCAGTTAGGGATCCAGCACCACCTGAAACACAGAGAACAAAGACCAATGTCTGCCTAATGGGATAAACAGAGATTCCTAATCAGGCTTCCATCAATGGAGGTGATTATCAGGTTCCTCCTTCCTTATCTTTCAGTTCCAGGAGGTGTTCCTGATTTCAGGTTAAAATCATTGCTTTATTCTGTCTGAACTATGGCATAATAAAGCTGCCCCTGAAGGCCCAGCCTGCTACACCCCCATAATATTTGGTTAATCCACGGTTCCTTGGCCCCCTCACACCACTTAGGTCCCATTAAGCCGGGCGTACACTGTGTGATATTTTTCAGTTGTTGCACGCAGCTACTGCTCACTCTGTACAACTAATCGCAGGGTTCACTCGTACAGTGTGAGTTCACAGCTTTATGTTCGGCCCGACGCTCTCATGCGATCTACCTGCTAAAAACCACGTGGAACTCGGCTCCGCAGTGAGATGGAGCTGCTCTGTATCGTCTATCTGGAAGCCAAACAAATAGAAGGGGACTATTAAGCTAACTAGAGGGAAACACGCTGCCTTGGCAATTTGTGCAATTTTGTGCCAAAAGCCCTAAAAAGAAAAGCAGACAATGTATTTAGAAAAAAGACATGGCTGAGCAGATATGGCTACTACGGTCTGTCAGTTTTACAGGAAGAACTCCATTTCACTCATTGCGTGGCTGCCATGCATCAGGGTTTTCATCTGAGAAGAAGAAGCAGAAGAATCCTTGTTTGTGCCCTGAGCAATTTGCCCATGACGGCCGGGAGAAAATCAAAACAAGTTTGATTTGCCACCGATCTCACCATTCCTGATCGGGAGGTGGACGTGAGAGGCTGATCGCCGCTCGTAACCCCCTGTACACTACACGACTCACGATCAGGCTGAACAGCGCCGAGCGAGCGATGCACCCGTTGATGTGTAACTAGGCTCATCTTGGGACAGAGTCCTGCTCTGCCCTCTGAGGTAGACCATAAATACGGGATGGATCTCCAGCTCAGTTAACTTCTCCTCCATTCTTATCTGCAGCTTCATCGTTTGTGTTGAGCTTTCCTGGTCCTCCCTCCGGCTTATCAAGGCCGGCCCTCTTCTTTATCATCTTAATTTCTAAGAAATGGACATTAAGTCCTTGATGAAAGCTTCTCCTTTCCAGCAAAACCAAGCTCAGAGCGCCTGACTGGCTTCTCTGAGGCTAATGCATCCGGGGTGGGGGTGGTTATCAGAACTCACCTGATGGTGTTCTCCACGTAGCTCCACAGGCGGCTGGTCAGAGGGAGGACGCCAGCCACAGACAGCACTCTGTGCACCACCCTGTACACCAGCAGAAGGACATGTGAGGTCAGCAGGTTTCCATCAGCTGTCTGCCTTTTATTCCTCACCAGAATGAAAACCTGGAGTGATTCCTTCCAGGAGGCGGAGCTCCAAGGCCTGCCTGGTTTAAACCTGTTATCCTCTGCAAAGCAGGTACCACAGACTTTAAACTGAGCAATGGTAGATATTTCCTTTGCAGAGCTAATTATGTATCCTGACACCAGGAGGAGGTTCTGCTTCTAGCTTGACAGTCAGGTGCAAACTGACCATGTCTGCAGGAAGTGATGACTCACAGGAAACAGATCCATTACAGAACATGAAGAGAGGGTCAGTGACCAGATCAGAAATAACATCAGTAAATTAGAACTGGTGAGGGAGTTAACAGATGAATGCAGCAGGAAGAGAAACTATCTTTAAGCTTTGAACCAAAATAAAAGCACCCTGGATCCACTCAGATATCATAGCATGCTAATAACCAACAGTGCTGGTTATTAGCAGCCTGCAGACATGAGGAACCATCAGCTATGCCGCAGACATGAGGAACCATCAGCTATGCCGCAGACATGAG